GAAGGGGACAAGGAAGCTGGTGATAGGGAACCCAGGGTTGAGTAAGGATATTGTTGATGTGTTGTGAGATTGTTAACCATTGTCATAGGGCAACAGTTGCAGTAACTGTTAAATGAGAAACTGTTTTGTTCTGTAAGCCTTCCTCTTAAGTGAGAATAACAGCACAATTGGAAGAGCATAGTCAATGTCACTGAACTGTGTTTGTAGAAATTTTTGGAACTGTGTATCTTTGGCTATGTGCATTTTCACCAAAAAAAAAAAGTTGAGAATTTAGAGGGTTAATATGTTGTGGGGTTGTTAACCAATGACATAAAATGACGTGTACTACTGTTTCATGAGAAACTATTTGTTCTGTAAGCCTTCACCTGAAGTACAATAAAATATTAAAAAAAAACTATGTCTTTAGTAATGACAATTATGAGGCAGTACAGTCGGCCCTCTGTATCTGTGGATTCCACATCTACGGATTCAACCAACCATAGATCGAAATATTCGGGGGGAAAAACTTTTTCCCTGTCATTTCCTAAAAAATACAGTATAACGACTACTTATATATATATAGCATTTATGTTGTGTTAGTATGATAATTAATCTAGAGTTTATTGAAGTATGGGTTATATGCAAATACTGTGCCGTTTTATATCGGGGATTTGAGCATCGAGGATTTTTGTATCCACGGGGGTTTGGTAGTAGTCCCCCCATAGATACCAAGGGATGACTGTATTTGAATTAAGTAAAAGTTGTTTTTACCAGGTATTCTGTTACTTCCATTCTCAGGTAGTCATTTCCAAAGGTTGAACTTCTGGTTCCTCCTGTCACTGCAGTATGTTTAGCTTGTGTGGAAGGGGAAACTTGGCGGTGTGTTTAGGACTCATTCAGTTATAGATGTGATGGAATATGTGGAGCTAAAAATGGCAGCAGGTTACCAGAGAAAGAGTAGGGCATTGATACTTGGCCAGGCGTGCAGTCATTACTCTGCCATGGGCTCTGTATTAGTTCCTGAGCCTTCTGAGACTCACCTGCATCATTGCTGCAGTGTAGGTCGTATCTATACTATAATGCTGTTTTAAAGCCCAACCCAGTTCATATGAAGCACCTACAATGGTGTAAAACGAAACCAAACCCACTGCTGTTGAGTTGATTCTGACTTATAGTGGCCCCGTAGGACAGTAAGACAGCCCCATATGTTTTCCAGGCCTGTAATCTTTACGGAGGAGCACTGGTGGCTCGGTGATTAAGAACTTGGCTGCTAACCAAAAGGTCAACAGTTCAAATCTACCAGCTGCTCCTTGGAAAACCTGTGGGGCAGTTTTCCATCCCACAGGGTCACTGTGAGTTGGAATAGATGCGATGGCAGTGGGTTTTTGGTGGTTTTAATCTTTACGGAAACAAACTGCCACATATTTCTCCCACGGAGTGGCTGGTAAGTTCAAACTGCTGACCTTAGGTTAGCAGCTGAGTGCTTTAACCACTGGGCCACCAGGGCTCCTCCCACATTGGTACCTGATGTATTTTAAGGTCTCAGTGAAAAGGAGCTATTAGCTGTTAGATTATCTCGTAAGCCTGAGATAAAACAATGCAGAGGACTCAGACCCACCGCAGGAAGAGTTCTCTGACCACATCATGACCCTCAACCCACTGATCAGAGCACTTTCTTACTCAGTCTCCACCTTCATTCCCTTCAAATGCAGCTTGAATTCCATGGTCCTTTTACCCCCTTTTTGTCAATCCTAGGTAAAATCAAATCTTCACCTTTTGTATGTGTCATGTAAGTAACAAATCTAGAGGAAAACCACCAAATTGGGGAGATTGGTTCCAGTTTAAATTCACAGCCTTAAATATCAGATCTAAAACGTTAGTAGTCAGTTTTACTGTTTTTTTTCTGTTAGCTTCAGTTTTTGTCTCCATGATGATTATATTTCTCTTGTCACCCAATATATCCTACTTCATTCACTTCCTCTCCCCTCACTGATACTGTGAATCTTGAAAGTGTAGAATCCATGGAGACTAGAATTGCCTCATCCTTCCATCAGGTATTTGCTTTCTCCTTCCCATCTCTCATAGTGGAAGACTGTCCCTGTTCCCATCACAGGCTGCCCCCTCTCTGCTCTCAGTCTCCATGCCGTTTTTTTTTTTCCCTTTCAGAGAGGTTTCAACCCCTCCACCTCCTTGTTGAACTTCCCAGACTGTGAAGAGTGTGCTTTTTCCTTTGGAATCAGTTACCGTATGGTGGATAGCAACTAATGACGATAATGATAATATTTAATGTTTTCTTCTATTGTAGTTTTTGTTAAGCAGAAACTTTAATATAACTACTCTGGCTGAAGAATTAATATCTCAATACTTGTCAGATGATTTGTCCAAGAGGAAGAAAATTTATGATGAAGAAATGTTGGAATTATCCAAGTAAGTGCTCATGCTTTATGTACTTGGAATTGAGTTCAGATAGATTAAGGAAGCAAATCCTTGTTAACTTCATAGCTTTATTTCAGATTTTTGTCTTGGCAGAGAAGTTAGAAAGCCTGTAAAAAAAATTAAGTACAATGAGTTTTATGGAAATTTAATTGCAAGAAGTTACAGGAGATGTTTCAGAAGTGTTGTTTATCAGAATTACGTAGTTGCTGTTTGTGTTTAGGTGAGTGATACTGAAATTCATTTTAGAATTGAGAATGCTAAGTATTTAGAAATTCAGGAGAGAAAGCAGTGCCGAGGTTTGTGGCTTACCCAAACCGACTGCTGTTGAGTTGGTTCCAACTCATAGCAACCCTGTTGGACAGAATAGAACTGCCCCATAGGGTTTCCAAGGCTGTAAATCTTTATGGAAGCAAACTGCCACATCTTTCTTCTGTGGAGTGGCTGATGAGTTTGAACCGTGGACCTTTTGGTTAGTAGCCGAGCACTTAACCACTACACCACTGGGGCAGGATCAGTAATTGTCTTTTAATCATTTAACGTGGTTAAAGTTTTGGGTTACAGTAACCTTTAACTACTGAGATGTTACAGCTTTCCCTCTTTATTTAGAACTCGTTATCTCTGACAGCTATGTAATTTTTCTTCTATCAGAAACATAGCTGCCATAAGCCATAACTTTTCTAAAGTATAGTCATATAACTTGGCATGTTCTCTCCCGTCAAATTAAATGAAGATGGGATTGGTGGAAAACTTCAGATGAACTCAGAACTTTCTCATGCTATAGTCTGTGGCTTTCTTTTCCAGCTTAATAGTCCATCCTGAGGGTTTTATTTTGTTAATGAGAGAATTGAGGTTGGTTAGATTTGTTGTTTTACAGCGACTAAGTACTTCATTTGGAGCCCTGGTGGTGCAATGGTTAAAAGCTCAACTGTAAACCAGAAGGTTGGCAGTTCTTCTGTGTCCTGTAGGGTCACTGAGTCAGTGGACTCGATGGCAATGGGTTTGGTTTTAGTTTAGTACTTCATTTTGCCTCTGATGGATTGTGTGTCTAGACTAACGTTTCTCCTTACTTTCCAGTTTGACCAGAGACGTTCCCATCTTGGTGTATACTGTGGCCTTCCCTACCGTCATTTGTCTGCTCCATGTCTCTGAGCCACGGTATCGGCTTATGATAAGAAGATGCATGGAAACTGGTACCAAGCGCTTTGGCATGTGTTTGTCTACTGAAAATGCAGGGTAAGAATTACCGGTATTCCAAAGGCCGCAGCCAAGTGCGTGATTTGTTGTTTTTCATAAGGAACAGTTTAGGAAGTGCTTGAAAATCTCCAGTGGCTCCCATTACATAATGGGATAAATTCCAGGCCATCCGTGATCTAGTCTCAGCCTCGTTTGTGGCCCATCTCCCATCCTTTCTTTCAAACATCATATTTGTTAGTCTGCTACCATGTGATTTGCCCTTTTCTAAATACAGCTCATGCTTTTGTATCGCCATGCTTCCATTCATGTGCCTCCCTTTGCTTGCAGTTTGCTTATAGCCCATCTCTATACAGACAAATCCTGTTCAGCTTTCAAGGTCTAGGAATATTGCTCCATGAAGCCTTTCTGTATCTCCACAGCCAGAAAATTTCAGTCTTGTAAAAATTCATGGCTTTTTTTTTTTTTTTTTTAATACCTTTCTTGGTTTTACATCATTTATCTAGAGGGAGGTGTTCAAGTCACAAGACAGTGCTCCTCTTTCTGATGGTGGTGGTTAGGTGCTGTTGAGTTGGTTTTGACTCATACCAACCCTATGTACAACACAACGAAATACAGCCCTGTCCTGCGCCATCCTCACAGTTGTTGCTATGTTTGAGCCTGTTGTAGCCACTGCATCAATCCATCTTGTTGAGAGTCTTCCTCTTTTTCACTGACTCTCTACCAAGATCCCTGGTGGTGCAGTGGTTAAGAGCTCGGTTGCGAACCAAAAGGTTGGCAGTTTGAATCCACCAGCTGCTCCTTGGAAACCCTGTGGGGCAGGGTTTGACTTGACGGCAACAGGTTTGTTTTTTGTTTTTGCTACTAAGTACAGTGTCCTTTTCCAGGGACTGGTTCCTCCTGATAACATGTCCAAAGTACGTGAGACGATGTCTTAACATCCTCTCTTCCAAGGAGCACTCTGGCTGTACTTCTTCCAAGACAGATTTGTTCCTTCTTCTGACAGTCTATAGTATTTTCAGTATTCTTCGCCAACACCATCACTGAAAGGCGTCAGTTTTTCTTTGGTCTTCCTTATTCATCTTCCAGCTTTCCCAGGCATATGAGGAGATTGAAAAATACCATGGCTTGGGTCAGGGCACCCTTTAGGCTCATCTTCCAGCATTGCAGCAAGGTGCAAGCCACCACAGTATGACAAAGTGACAGATGAGTGGTGGATCTGGTGGTTTGGGGACATAGAATCCCTCCTATCACCTGGCTTCCTTGTCCTCTAGGACTTCATCAGCACTGGCATGGTCTAGCTGTGGATGAGCAGGAGCACGGAAAGAGGCACGTGTGTTCTTAAGACTCTGCTACAGGGGAGGCTGGGAAATGTAGTCTACCCCTGTCTTAGTCATCTAGTGCTGCTATAATAGAAATACCACAAGTGGATGGCTTTAACAAAGAGAAATTTATTCTCTCTCAGTCTAGTAGGCTACAAGCCCAAGTTCAGGGCATCAGCTCTACAAGAAGTCTCTCTCTCTCGCGCTCTCTGTTGGAAGGAAGGTCCTTGTGATGCATCAGTCTTCTCTTGGTCTGGGAGCATCTCAGTGCAGAAACCCCAGGTCCAAAGGATGCGCTCTGCTCCTGGCACTGCTTTCTTGGTGGTGTGAGCTTCCCGTGTGTCTCTGCTCACTTCTCTCTTCTGTATGTCAAAAGAGATTGGCTTAAGACACTATCTAATCTTGTAGACCTCATCAGTATAACTGCCGCTAATCCATCTTATTACATCATAGTGATGGTTTACAACACACAGGGAAATCACCTCAGGTTACAAAATGGTAGATAATCGCGCAATACTGGGAATTGTGACCTAGCCAAGTTGACAGATAATTCTGTGGGACACAGTTCAATCCACGACAACCTGTATGCCTAGGAAGAAGTGGAGAATGGATTTTTAGAGCCATCCAGCAGTTTCTGCCACAAATACCTAAGGCTAAATCTTTCTTAAAATATGTGTAGGACCGTTATGGAGAAAGTTCTAGAACTTTATCAAGAGGTATTAAACCTGAATAAATGGAGAGAAATACCATGTTCATTGATGCAAAGATTCCCATGTCATAGAGATGCCGGTTCTACCCAAATTAGTCTGAATCTAAAGTAATTCCAGTCAATATCCCAAGGGACTTTTTCCATGGAAATCCCCAAGGTGATTTTAGAGTCAGTATAGAAAAGCAGGAACCCTGGTGGCACAGTGGTTAAGTTCTTGGCTGCTAACCGAAAGGTCAGTGGTTCGAATCTGCCAGCCGCTTCCTTGGAAACACTGTGGGGCAGCTCTCCCCTGTCCTATAGAGTCAGTATGATTCGGAATCGACTTGATGGCAATGGACTTGGTTTGGTATGGGTTATAGAAAAGCAGAAGACCTAAACCATGAGCATTCTGAAGAAACAAACTGAGCAAGGTGGGAGAACATTTACACAGCTTCAAAATTACAAATCATATTTATTAAGGTGGGTTGGGATAAGTAGAACGTAGAGATCAGACACAGATTCACTGATACATAAATTCCAAATTTTTATATAATTTTGTGAAAAAAGGTGAACTTCAATAAAAAGTGCCCAGAAAATGTGTAGGTAGTCCCGTTGGGAAAAAAGTGTATTCCCTACCTCACACGGTACACACAGAATTAAAACATGTCCTTTCCTAATGTGAAATGTGGAAAACAAAATAGAAAAACTTCTAAGAGAAATATTGGGGACTATCCTTGTAGTGAGGAATAGGGAAAGATCATTTCTGTACACAAGACACTGAATGTAGACCATAAAGGAAGAGGCCAGTAAATTTGTATTAAAATTTGGTCCATCGAAAGTCAGCAAAAGTGAAGTGAAAAAATAAGCTACAGGAGTATCACTTCTACCGTAGACACAGAACAAACAAAAACAACGGATGAAGTACAGAATCCTGAGTGTCTTGAAGCCAGCAGAGCCGAGGGTGCTCAGGCTAACTGGGTAGCTTGAAATCCAAGGAACGACGGGCCTACCGAGGAGATAGTAGATGAGAACAGTGCCTCACCTGGAGCTGAGCCCAGGAGAAAGAAAGAAGTGTGTAAGAAGAATTCAACTAAATGTTTTGTCCAACAAACCGCTAATGATCTCCTGGCCTCGCCTGAGAGTATTGGTTTTCTGGGAGCTGCAGACACAGGTGTTTGCACCTGCTCACAGGTTCTTCTCCGCAGACCTCCTGCCAGGTGCTCGTGAGGAAGACTAGGGGCAGGGCTGGATGTTCGCTGCTGGAAAGGTGTGAAGCCCTGCCAGGACCTTAACCCCTAAGCAGTAAAGTCTTAGGCACTGGGGGAGGGTCATCAGACTCTCAGCCGAGGGAAAAGGTAAACACCCATTGAGGCTGGGCTAAGGATAAAATAAAAAGTCCTCTAATCCTGGATGCCGTGCTGTGGGCTGGCTTCAGATACCCGGGGAGCCCAAGCTCAAACGGCCCCTGTGCTTGGTTTAATGCATTGCTGCTGCTATCTTGAAATTCTTAATTTTTGAACACCGAATCTTATATCTTAATTTTGCATCGTTTTGTTATATTTTCCTAGAGTGTCAGTGGCCCTTAGCGAGACCCAAACAGTCCCATTGTCCCCAAGTTACTGTCTTCTGTATTTCTTAAATACCTAATGAAACACACCAGTTGGCGCATTGCCTAGGACACCATCTCGTAGCACTACTGGTGAGATTTGTTTTTAATTTTTTTTGAGATAACTTTAAGAAGTAACAGATCCTATGTATCCTTCCCCAGTGAAACTAGTACGATGATATCTCGGCCAAGAAAGTGGCATTGGTAAAATCTTCTCACCTTATTCGGGTTTCACCAGTTTTACATGTACTGACTTTTGTGTGTGTATATTTAGTATGTGTTTAGTATATTTGGAGCCCTGGTGGCATAGTGGTTAAGAGCTCAGCTGCTATGCAAAAGGTCGGTAGTTCAAATCCACTGGCCGCTCCTTGTGAAACCCTATGGGGCAGTTCTCTGTCCTATAGAGTCACTGTGAGTTGGAATCAACTTGGCAGCAGTGGGTTTGGTTAGTGTATTTGGTATTAGTATGTGGAGGTAGTGTGTGTATCTGTATGCAGTTTTTTCATGTAGCCACTGCAGTCACCTCAGAATACAAATCGATACAGAAATCACCACAGTATACAGAACAGGTCCATCGCAAGGATTCCTTTTGCTACCATTTTATAGCTACGGTCACCTCCCTCCCACCCATCCTCTTCACGGAGGGAAAATTAAAGGCTCGTGAATTTTAAAAATCAGTCATTTCTCTTACTTGTCTTTCAGGATTTCAGAGTATGGCTGCATGCTGGAGATTCAGGGCACCAGAAGTTTTCCTGATGGAAGTATAGATGTAGATGCCATTGGAGTTAGTCGGTTCAGAGTCCTACGTCATCGTCAGAAAGGTGGCTATAACACTGCAGATATCGAGTATTTTGAAGATGAAAAGGTAACGTTTATTTTATCGATGCCTTTAATCATTTCATAGGAGTTAATCACCTCAGTCCCCTTGGCATTGTGGGAAAACGTGGTCAGATTTTTATCGATAACGTTACTTATTTTCTCTGTAATTCAGCATTTAAGCTAAATATTTACCTCAGGGGATGTTTGCCTGAACTGGAGCTGATGGAGAAAGTCTCTTCTAAAAAAATTACCTCACTGTCCTTAGAGACTGTGTCCACCTGCACGTGCAGAATGATTTACCCCAGGGCTCAGCACACTTTCTGTAAAGGGCACAATAGTAAATAGGCTTTGTGGCCCATATGGCCTGTATCAGAACTACTCACCCCTGATATTTTAACACAGAAGCAGCCATAGAAGATAATGTAAACGAATGGATATGGCTGGTTTCCAGTAAAACTTTATTTATAAAAACATGTAGTGAGCAGGACTTGACTCGCAAGCAGTAGTTTGCTGATCCCTGTTCTAGATATTGGTATTAGTTCAAATTGAGGCATGCTGTAAACAGCTGTGCTTAAAAGTACCTGTTAAAGCTAAATAAAAAAGACTTGGACTCTTACCCTTAAGAATTATTTATATGCCTGACAGATATTAGGACAGATAATTTGAGAGATTAACGAAGATTTGTATAAGAATGTCTGTAGTAGCCTTATTTATTAATATCTGAAAATTTAGAAACAGCCCCAATTAAGTTAAAAAAAAAAAACAAAAAAAAAACACTGTTGCCATCCAGTCGATTCCAACTCATAATGACTCTCTAGGACAGCGTACAACTGCCCCTTAGGGTTTCCAAGGAGTGGCTAGTGGATCCAGACTGCCAACCTTTTGGTTAGCAGACGAGCTCTTAACCACTATGCACCAGAGCTCCAGAAACAGCCCAGATGGCCATTCACAGGTAAACGGATAAACTGGTATGTTCCTGGAATAGAATACTACTCGGCAGTGAAAAGGAAGAGATACTAATACGTGAAACAACACGAGTGTGTCGTAGATAGACTCTGCAAAACGAGAGACGCCAGACTCACACACGCATACTGTATTTCTCCGTTTATGTGACTTCTGAGAACAGGCAAACTGTTCTCTGGTGGTGATAGAAGTCAGATGTGGGCTGGGCATTCTGACTGGCTGGACCGAGGGTTGAGGAATCTTTTTAGATGATGGAAATACTCTGTCTTGTTTTAAAGTAGCGGTTACATGGAGTATAGAGTTGGCAAAACTCTTTGAACTAAATTTATAGTGTGCATTTTCTTGTATGTAAATTACACTGCAACAAAAAATATTTAGAAGGAGGAAATCTTGGATTTATTGTGCCCTTTTTAAATTTTGGTTCACATTTGGAAGTGTGGAAGTGAGAGTATTTAGCCATGCCACATACTTAGCTATGATTGACACTAGAAATCACTTTTGAGGGCAGTGACGTGTTATGGTTCTTGTGAGTAGAGTCGTACCCAGGGTGCCAGCTCTCTCTGCCCCTCTTCAGCTTACTGTTTCTGGCAGCCTCAGGCCCTGTGGGTGCACAGCCTTCTGGGACACAGGAGGGCCAGCACAGGCAACTCAGATGCCAAAGCCTGCGGGCCATAGAGTTAGGTGTAAAGACTGTCTAACTGAATGAAGTAGTTCTCAGGGTTCTTCTGCTTGACTGATAACAAATCTGGTGAGGATTTCTTGACACTCTTGTTTAAGAAAATCTTCCATACACATGAATTTTTGGTTTATGTTTATAAACTGAGGATGATTCTGTGCTTTACAATGTAGTTCTTCAGTTTAAAAAAAGTCTCAGAGATTGGGATTTTACACCTTTATTCTTGCTTTACAGATGAGAAAGCGCCCCCCTAATGAGGCCATGTGACTGTGTAAAATTGACACACGAGTCAGTGGTAAAACCAGAACTAAACTATGTTCCCTACCTTCACTGTAATGGGTTTTTCCTAAGTAGGACTGAGACGTATTTAAAATTACTGACTTCTCGGCAAGATAGGTACTCAGAAGCAGAGAATGATAACTCTAAAGTGTTCGGACCCACCGCTAGTTGAGATTTATCGGCAAAAGGGTAATGTAATGAAAGTATTGTTGCTATAACATGTCTTTTGGAATACAGTTTGGTGATAAAGGAATACAGTTTTTAAAATACCTAACTCTTGGACTTGGCCGTTGTGCTAGGAAACTATTTGGAGGAAATACCTCCTCCCTGCCACAAGAAGGAAAACAGCTTTTGCATAGGTATTTGTAGTAGTATGTTATTTTTAAAAATGAAAATGTAGAAAACATTCTAAAAATGTCTTACATGAATGGTTAAGTAATAATTGCATGCAGTCATTGAAAATTATTTATGATAGCATGGGAGTTAGCGCTTACTGTGTGAAGAGAGAGAATCAGAGTGTGATAATTGGTAGGTCTCAAGTGTGTTAAATTTCTATATTCAGCATGTATCAGTTTTATAAAACAGTTACGAATTGTAGTAAATGATAATAGCATCAAAGTAATAAACGCCAAGAACCCACTTAGCAGAAGGGGCCGAGGTCATTACGTTTGTGTCATATATGATGATGAATTGGTGAAATGGTTGTCGTCTTTTCCTTGACAAGGTGGAGGGTCCGGAGTATGTAAGCCTCATCAGCCTTCATGATTCAGTTTATCAACAGTCTGTTTCCTGGTTTGCTGCTCTTCAGGATCCCAGGAAGGCACAGCTTTTAAGTCATTTTGGGGCGATGCCAGAGAGGGAACCTGAGCCACAGGTACACTTTTTTCTTTTGTAATAACTACGATTTTCTGCTGCAGTGTGCTAAGAAACATTGGCAGTACTACGTTTTATTCTCCGTTATGATGGCTTATGAACCAGTTCATTTATTAACAGACCAAAGAAGGACCAAATATGAGTTCCTCACCTTTAAATGTGTAATGTAAAAGTAAACTGGTGTTCTGAGGGCCGAATGCATTGTGAGGTTGACCTAAAAGGTGATAGCATTTATTTATTTATTTTTTTTCTTCGAGACTTTTACTGTGTTTTTATTTTTTTTATTGTACTTCAGGTGAAGGCTTACAGAACAAGTAGTTTCTCACGAAACAGTAGTACACATTGTTTTATGACATTTGTTAACAACCCCACAACATGTCAACCCTCTAACTTCTCAACCTGTTTTTTTGGTGAAAATCCACATAGCCAAAGATACACCATTTCAAAAATTTCTACATGCACAGTTCAGTGACATTGACTACGCTCTTCCAATTGTGCTGTTATTCTC